CCGAGATTTGCTCTCCCCTAGGCGCGCCCTCCAGCTGCTTCGGCAGGGCGCGCGAGGAGAAAGTGTCGACCCCCTCTTCGACGCCAGCGCCACAGAACTAGGACCCTGCCCTTCTCCAAAGAAGTACTGAGGATGTGGTATCAAAACCCTTGGAGAGGCCACTGACATCGTTCAAAGCGGGCATGGATGAATTGCCTGATTCTGGGAGTCGACACTCCGCCCCGCCGGGCATGATCCACCAGACTGGCGAGCGAAGATCCCAACCTCTCTCCAAAAGAGCAACCAGAAAAGCTGAGCGCGGCCCTCGTACCCACCGCGGTCTGCTGGCGGCTGACACGGCGAGCACATGTTGAGCCAGCGGCCTCCAAGCCCTCATCGCCGCGGGTCGAATATCAGCACGCAAAAACTACTGCTTCAACCGCAACTCCAGACACTGCCGTGGATAGATAATCCCAGGGCCCTGATTAGGAGCGCGAATGGCACAAGGCGATGTGAGACGTGTGCCACGGCCTCCTGCGCTGACAACTGCTGCAAGTGACCGGCGGAAATGCAGCAGACGGCCCCCGAAGGCCCCATGGAGATGGCGCCCATTGGGCCCCGCCGCCAGCGCCCCGCAACGCTCCGGCCTCGACGTGACTGAGTACCGCCGCGAAGCGCGAGCGTAGCGCACAATCTTGCCATGCTCCATTTTGTGCTTGGCGACCCTCTTGGCGCGGGCGCCGCGCGCCGCGCGCTTGCCGCCGCCCTGGTCCACGCCCGGGCAGGCCCCTTGCAGCTGCGCTCGCGCGCGGCGCCCATGCGCCCCCAGTCGCCTCGCCATCTCCTCGGCGCCCCTGTGGAACGAGCACAATGCGATGGACTTAGTCGAAACTGTAAGGTTCCACTTGGCGAGCTCGTCAAGGCATCCCTGAGGCAACGGCGCAGACCCGTGACCGCTGCCGATCTGGATCCAGAACGCCGCCGCGACAAATCATCCGTCCATAGCCTGCGTCCCAGTGCCGGGTGTGTCCGAGGAATCTTCGCCGCGACGACATGCGCCATGCAGTTCGCGAACCCAGCACCTCCTCGGCGACCTTGGATGATATGTCGATCAACCAAGAGAGGGGCGCAGACACAGCCAAACTGTTCGAATGTTCTCGCAGCAACGCATTCCGATAATTCAAACTACAAGCCGGCTGGCGGGTCGGAGGGCCGCCCGCGCCAACAGGTCCCACTCGATGCTGTCGCAGAACCCTTCGATGTCCAACGCGCCGCGACCTGTGGGCAGCTGGAGCCACCCGGCAGCCTCGTCATCGAGGGCGCAGTGGAAGGCCTCGACCAACGAGCTGTCCTCCGCGACGGCGGCGCCCCGCTCTGTCTCTACCTCCCAACGCCATTCACGCGCCTGCTGCTCGCGAATGCCGGGCCGCGCGCGCCCCGGCGAGGCCAATGGCCCCGTCGCCCTCGACCTTCCCGGGCGAGAATTTGCCCGCGACAAGCTGGGTTTGATGTGGCCGGGCCAAAGTGACCTCGAATGCGCTGGGAAAAACCGCTGGCTCACTGAGCCCGCCGGGCGGGGGCGCACAATGTCGAGAGGGGTGGGCCTGTCAGCGCCGAACCCCGTCTTGCCGCGCGCCCCGCGGGCCGCCCTCGAGATCTCCGCAGACGGGATAGGATCCAAAGTTCATTGCGCGCTGCTTGAGACACATCGCTAAATGCGTCCGCAAGCCGATCATCAGAGGCAGGAAAAGGACCCGTTTGCGACGAATTGGGCCCCTTCTTCGGCCCCCCGGGGTCCAGAGTCGCCTCCATCGGCGGCCCCTGGCGCCCGACAAATCCTTCGGATGCATGAGGGCGTTCGCACCAACAACAATCTCTAAACTCGGAACGGGTTCTTTCCTTCACGAGCGATGCAAGACTCCGACTGACTCCTGCTTGGTGGTGCGAACTCTGAATGCAGACAGAGATTCCCATACTGCGCGCCGTTGGGCACTCACTGACATCCCCCACGCTTGCTCGGCAAAGCTGCGCACGGCGGCACTTCTCGTAGAATGAATATTCAGCAGCAGGTGAGCCCACGTTTCCATCGTCGCATCCCGACCCCCCTGACGCTCATGAACGTCATCGAGCCCATCGTAAAACAAGTGCTCGCTTCTTGTATAAGCTGTGCAATCTGCTCGACGCCGCTGCCCCGACCGCTGCGTCTATCCACGCGCAGGAGCACGCTAGCCGCGCACTTCCACCCGCGGGCAACCACATCTCTGAGAGGAGCAGCTCGCGCGCGCGCTCTGCCGCACGTGCCCCACGACGAAAGAACGCCCATCAGCCCGCCGTGGGCCGCCTGGATGAGAGACCCGATGATGAGCACAGATGGCGTCTTCAACTGTGCTCACCCATTGCGAGCGCCAAGGGCTGACAAAATCAACTTGAACAGAACTGAGCGAAGAGTCGACGGAGGAGCAGCCGTGGAGAGGGGGGGAGAATGCGACCATTCTTGGCGGTGCTCACTGGCTTTCCACCAAACACTTTTCGGCGCGTGAAACTCCGGCTCGCCCTTCGCCTCTGGCTCGCCCGAGGGTGCAGGCTCACCTGGGATGGCGATTGGCGATTCACTCCTCATGGCTTTGGGGGAGTACCCGAAATGGCATTATTCTCGCGCTCGGGCGAGACCCGAGGCAAGACGGACGAGCTGGCACCGAGCGGGCTGCTTAAACTTGCATCCACGGGGCGAAAGCTGGACTCGTTAGCCCACGGGTCTTCCTCTTCTGAGAATGTGAACTCTTCTAACTCGGGGCCACCCCCCTCAGGGAGATAGGCCTCGTCTCCCGAGGCGCCTGCTAGGCAGGATTCCCAAAAAAAAACACCAACAAGTCCAGAGTAAACTTTCGCGCGCTGCCCAGAGGCTTCCAGGGCCGCCATGGCCCTCTCAGTCTTGGCCGTGCCGGCCATGGGCCCACGGGCGCCCTGCTTCCTGGGTCCACCCACCTGCGGGAAGCGACCTGCACACTCGAGGCGGCGGGTCAGGAGTTGAGCGCCAGCACTGCAAACAGTAAGCGCAAGCCCCGCATGTGGACGCCATGGCACGTCGAGAACGGGAGTGAGAGACTGGACGTACGGGAGGGCGGACTCGCTGGTGACGGCGTAGTCCAAGATCTAGGGGTGCTCGCCTGCATCGCACGTGTAGGCGGCGTCGGGTGAGACGATGCGTCCGCTGATCTGGTCGACGAAGCCCGTGGCCTTCAAGGCCTCGGGGTCGATGTTCCAGTCCCCCCGGCAGATCCAAGGGGCTTGGAGGGCTTGAAGGGGCCCACCCAACTCGTGGAACCTGGAGATGTTCTCTCCAGTCACGCCCACACCCGTGCGGCCGCACAAGAAGAGGAGGCAGAAAGAGAATCCAGCACAGCGCATCATAGTCGTCAGAAACCCATCCAACGCATGGCACCCGACAGTCTTCAAGGAGGCTGCATTCGCTGCTTCAGATAAAGACTCCACGCGCAAATGGCCTCGAGAGAAAGAGAGAGAGAGAGAGAGAGAGAACAAAAACATTTCACCACCCTCGTTGGCCCTATCAGCACTGGCCTTCGGAGAGGCAGATCGCCCGCTGGGGCGAGCTGCGTGGCTGAGTGGCCGAAGCAAGGCGAGGCGTGCACGAACTCCCCGTCGGCGCGGCTGCGACTCACTCGCGCGAGTCTCCACGCACCCCATACACTCGCGCAACTGGGGGCGCCCCTCCAAGAGACTCCACGCCCGATCCCCAAGGGCTGTGACGTTGCTGAAGAAGATACTGACCTGCTGCTTGCCGGCGAGCTCGCTGGAGCTCGCGCCCCCGACGCCCAGCGCAGTCGCCTCTACGTCGGGGGCAACTTGTCAAGCAGAGGTGGCGCGCGCAGGAGTTTCTGCACCCCATCGCTTGCCGCTGCCTTTGCCGCTTGCCGCCGCCTGCGCCGCCGCGAACTTGGCCGCTGACAGCCTGTCCGCTTCGGCCTTCACCTCCTCGCGCACCACCTCGGCGGCCGCTGGCTCGGCTGCGGCGCCGCTGCTGCTGGCCCCCTGGGAGCTCCCGCTGGCGCCGCCACGTGGGGATGCAGCCGTCCGCGCCGCCCCTTCTGCTGCGGGCGCTGCGGGCGCTGGGCCTGCAGGGGCAACCGCGGCCTCGGCAGGGGCCGCCCTCGCCACGGGGGCAGGCCCCCCCTGCCGGGATGCAAAGAAGCGCCTGCTTGGTCGACACGTCTGCCCACTCATTGCCTTGCCTCAGATAGCGTTCCCTGTCGTCAGTGGCCCGATCCACGTCGAGGTGGGCTCGAACCTTGATCAGGCTAATGTTAGGCCAGTGCTCTCTGACAAACTGAACAATGCCAGAAAACATGCGCCTCGCCGAAGCCTGTTCAGGCCAATGCAGTGCCGCAAAATCAACGCAGTTCTGGCAATCAGAAGAAAACATCACACGGACCTGTGGACCTCTGGATCGAAACAGAGAGAGCGTGGAACTCGGCCGCCTGCGGGGTCTGGGAGCACGGTGCCCAAATAGGCCCCCGAACACAAACAATCTCAAGACCTGAACGTCTGCACACCAAGGTGAAGGCCCAACCCGCGCGGTTGAGTTCGAGAACGAGGACTCTAGAGCACGACCCATCGATAAACATGTTTCCTTCGAAAGTCTGGTCGAGGTCCTGGGGGTTGCCCTGCACCCACTCCACTCCACTCCAGGAGGAGGAGCAGGAGGAGGAGGAGGAGGAGGGAAGGAAGAGAGAAGAAGACAGGAGGAGTGAGAGGAGGAGAGAAGAGGAGCAGGAGGAGAAGGCGGCGGAGGAGGAGGCACAGGGAGGAGAAGGAGGAAGATGATGATGATGATGAGGAAGAGCAGAACAGGAGAGAAGAGGAGAGAGGAGGAGACAGGAGGAGAGAGGAGGAGAGAGGAAGAGCAGGAGGAGGAGGAAGAAGAGGATGAGGAGGCGGCGGAGGAGGAGGAGGAGCAATCTTCGTTGCTTCTTGATTCTCGACAATTGGCGCGCTCCGCGGGCCTGGGGCGTTCCCCGTCCGGCTGCTCGGCCCGCGCCGCGGGGCCGGCGCCGCCCGGCCGCCGCCACACCAGCGATTGCCCCCAGACCTCCGACGCCGTGCCCCAGCGGGGCCTCCAAACGGTGTAGTGACCACAGGAGTGCGGTGAGGAGAATGTCCATCATCTCGAAAAAGAAAATACGGTTAAAAAATGTCGGCGCTCCGCGCGGATCTCTTTCATCCGCGCCGGGCCCCCCCTCTCTGGCGCGCGGAGCGCGCCATGGGCGGCGCCGATGGCGACGCTGGGGGGGGCCCAGGCGCTGATGCAAGAAATCCGGGCGGATCGCCGAAAGTTTATGTTAATGCAATTTTCTGTTCTCCGAACGCCGTGGAATGGGGAGAACGTCCTCAACCTCTTGCACTACTCGAGGCCTCCCAATACGGGTTGGAATAGATGGGGTTGGAGGATCGCACCGCACCGACAATGCATCGCCGATGCACCGGCGATGCACCGGCGACGTCGGCGAGGCATCGGCGACGCAGGCGTGGAGAAAAGCGCGCTCCGCGTCGAACAACTGGGAGACGAAGGGAAACGAATCGACCCCACGCACCGGCTTACGCGCCAAGGTCGGCGCAGACGGAGCCGTTCTTCCGTGTCGCTGAGCTGTGTTCTGGGGTTCGGGGCTCTCTGCTTTCGTCGGCGTTCGCTCGTTCGCTCGTCGCCCCCCCTCCGCCCCATGGCCCCCCTGCTCCTGCCTCCTCATGATGGTCCTCATGGCCCCAGGAGAACACCAGGATGGCCCAACGAACACCTCTCGTCCTCATCCCGCCTCGCCTGGCCCTCCGCCCTCCCTCGTGCAGGGAGCCAGCCAAGGGGCCGAGGGACACACAAATAAGTAGACACAACTCCCAGGAATCGAATTGTTTCCCATGTTTTCTGGGTTCTCGTTCTCTTCCCCCCACTTCCCACACTTCCCCACATCTTCCTGGGGATCGACGACTCGTTGTGTCTGTGCGTTCTTTCCCCTCCTGGACCAGGGCGTGCGTGCCGCGTGCTTCTTGGCGATCGCCTGGGGCGCCCGGGGAAGGCGCCCGGGGAGGGGGAGAGGCCTGCCGACAACATTCGGTCAGACCTGTCCCCCGACAGGCGGCTTTTGGATTAATAATGGAAAAATCCGCCGGCCCCCTTGCGGGGCCATCAGGCTGCGAGGATTACGCTTGCTGCTCCCTGCGCCAATTCCAGTTTCCAGTTTCCATTGTTACATTACTGCTTTTTGTTTCCTGCTGAAAATTGTTACTGTCCGCGCGAGGGGGGGGAGCCGAAAACTGTCCTTTTTAGCACCCCCCGGGAGGGTTCTCAGAATTCCCGGGGGGGAGGGGAATTAACACCCCTTACGCAGATCGGCGGGGTCAGGGTCCAAAAACATATGGGATTTGCCACATTTCTAAAATTCGGTGGCACCCCTCACGCAGATCGGCGGGGCCAGGGTCCAACATGATGGACCCACGAACCCGGAAAGGGATAAAGACATGTGCAGCATGGTCACGTTTTCACGATACCCAACTGGGCGACATCCCACGAAACATCCCACGAGACACCCCGCGAAACATCCCACGAGACACCTCACGAAACATTCCACGAGACACCTCACGAAACATCCACGAGACACCCCGTGAAACAGTCCACGAGACACCCCACGAACAGGCAACCACTCAACCAGACACGCCACGAAACATTCCACGGGGGTGCGACTGGGTGTGGTCGTGCTGGGGTGTGGTCGTGCTGGGGTGTGGTCGTGCTGGGGGTGGTCGTGTCGTGCTGGGGGGTGGTCGTGCTGGGGGGGTGGTCGTGCTGGGGGTGGTCGTGCTGGGGCGTGGTCGTGCTGGGGCGTGGTCGTGCTGGGGCGTGGTCGTGCTGGGGTGTGGTCGTGCTGTGGTGAGGTCGTGCTGGGGTGTGGTCGTGCTGGGGTGTGGTCTTGCTGGGGTAGGGTCGTGCTGGGGTCGGGTCGTGCTGGGGTGTGGTCGTGCTGGGGTATGGTCGTGCTGGGGTGGGGTCGTGCTGGGGTGGGGTCGTGCTGGGGTCTGGTCGTGCTGGGGTGTGGTCGTGCTGGGGTATGGTCGTGCTAGGGTGGGGTCGTGCATTTCGCTCGAGACATCCTGCCAAAATTCAAGGAAATCGTACAAAAACAAACGAATTAGTCGAGACATCCTCGGAATTCCTTCGCGCGGGGCGCTTTTCCGTGTCGCGGTCGGCTCTGCAAAACAAGCGTTTCGCTCGAGACATCCTCAACAAATTCTGAAACCAAGCGTTTCGCTCGAGACATCCCCAACTCTGCAAAACCAGCGTTTCGCTCGAGACATCCTCAACAAATTCTGAAAAACAAGCGTTTCGCTCGAGACATCCTCAAATTTTAATCCGCCGGCCTCCTTCGACCTCGATATTTATCAGGGAAAAAATCCGCCGGCCTCCTTCAAGTTGGCACCGGGGGAATATGTTTACATAGTAAAAGAGAACCCTGGGCCCCCGCCCTTTCCGGGAAAAACACATGGGATTTGCCGCGTTTTTGAAATTTCTGGCACCCCTTACGCAGGTCGGCGGGGTCAGGGTCCACAAACACTTGGAATTTGCAGCATTTGTGAAATTCGGTGGCACCCCCCACGCAGATCCGTCGCCCGAATCGAGCCGGAGCGCTCCCGGAGCGGCCCGACGAGCACCCCGCGCGACCTGGCACGAGCGGGCCGCCCGAAATTGGGCCGGGAACGTACCCGAGCCCACAACCAGACTAAATCGGGAGCCGTTTTGGTGGAGCCACTGACATTTTGCCGGGCCGGCCAGCATCTTCCAGATTTGCCCGAATCGAGAGCGGCGTCGGCAGGCCCGAAATCCAAGCCCAGGAGCCCCCAGGCGCTCCCAGGCGCGCCCGAGCGCTCCGTGCGAGCCGGAGCGCCCCCCGGAGCCGCCCGCCGAGCACTCCGTGCGAGCTGTCACGAGCGGGCCGCTCGAAATGGGGCCAGGACGTACCGGAGCCCAAAACCATATCAAATCAGAAAGAAAATGTGTATTGGAAGCCGTTTGTGGAGCCACTGACATTTTGCCGGGTCGGCCAGAATCTGCTAGATTTGCCAGACTCGAGCGCGGCGTCGGCAGGCCCGAAATCCAAGCCCCAGGCGCGCCCAAGCGCTTCCAAGCGCTTGGCCGGAGCGCCCCTGGAGCGGCCCGACGAGCATTCCGTGGGGGCCTGCACGAGCGGGGGCGCTTCCGGAGCGGCCCGACAAGCATTCCGTGCGAGCCGGCGCGAGCGGGAGCGCTTCCGCAGCGGCCGGACAATGCGCTCCAAGGATTTGCCACATTTCTGAAATTCGGTGGCACCCCTCACGCAGATCGGCGGGGTCAGGGTCCCAAAACACATGGGATTTGAAACAATTTTGGAATTCGGTGGCACATCTTACGCAGATCCGTCGGGTCAGGGTCCAAAAACGAGAGGGACTTGCCACATGTCTGAAATTCGGCGGCACCCCTCACGCAGATCGGCAGGGTCAGGGTCGAAAAACAAATAGGGCCCGACACTGCTTCACGGCAAAGCCAAAGCCTCGTGACTTCGCTCTTCCATGGCCCATTCTCCGAGAGAGGGGGCCGGCGGCACGGGGCGAGCCCTTACGGATATAGCAGCAAAAATGCTCACACGTAGTCAAACATTGTCGAACCATCGTTTTTGGACTATTTTTGAATATTCCCCTTGTAGAGGGAAAAGCCCGACTTAGGCCATGCGCCCACTGCAGGAGGAGGTGAAAGGATGCACGAGAGAGATCACGTCGATTCAGGCTCAGCTAAAAGCGGGCCCAATTTCAGGAGTCCCTTCGATCGCCTCGGCCTTGACTGGTGGCAGGCCCGAAAACCCGGGTCATCGCGAGACCCTCAAAAGCATTCTCGAGTCGGCTGGGATTCGGGAAAACCGCCCGGTTTTGAGGCTCGGGTCTTTCTTGTAGGATGTCTCTGGCGACTGGGGCATCCAGGGTCCATGAGGCCTCATGGATGGGGTCGGAGCAGATAGGGTCGGAGGATCGCGACGCATCGCCGATACATCGGCGATGCATCGGAGATGCATCGGCGATGCACCAGCGATGCATCGACGTGGGCGATGCATCGGCCACGTGGGCGATGCATCGGCGACGTCGACGTTAAGCAAATCGGGCTCCACAGCCGCATCGGCGATGCGTCGGCGATGGGACACGATCTTCCGACCCCATCTGCTCCGATCCCATCTAGGAGGCCTAGAATCCAAAAACCGTGCGGTGACGGCTCGTGCGGTGAGGTCCTTCGGTCTGTCACCGTTTTAGAGATCTGGGCGCTGCAATCTTTTCGCGCCAGGCGAGCTCGCACGGCCTCGGGCCCTGGGACCCTCACAGATCGATCTTGCCCGAAGAGCGCCGCAGAACAATTGGGCCCAGGGCGCTGGTCGAATTTCCTAGGATGTTATGGATATCAGGGGTGTGAGGCGGGGATTTATCCATATCCACCGCCTGGGAACCGACGTCCTGGTGCCCTAGCGGGCGGTGGATATGGATATGGATATATATATATATATATATATGTATATCGGCCTCCGAGCGCCCGAATTGCCGAAGCTCCGAAAACTGACCCTCCAGGCGGCGGTGGTCATGTATAAATTCCCGCCTCGGAAAGATCACCCGGGACCTATCTGGGACGGTCCCGTGGGGCCGGCTGGGAGCCCCATGGTCCCATGAACCTAGGCTGTCCCCCGATGGAGATCCGACGTGGCGAACAAATGCAACAAAGCGAAACATCACGCCCGCAGACCCGCTTTTTCTGTTGCATTTTCGAGCCGGAGCGCTCTATGATGGCCTCGGGGCCGGAGAGCGGGCGACAACGCCTGGCGTGAAAACCTGCAACGCCTGGGTCTCAGGTGAACCCCGAGAGGGGATGAGCTCCGCGTGGGTTTCTTGAAATCTGCGCTGGGCCCCCCTGGCGTTAGGTCGGGCATGTCCTCCTACAGGCAGATTTGGGGCAAACGTTGACACATAGACAGAACACAGTCAATTAGTCAAACATAATGGAAAATTGTCCCCCCCCCTCTTCTTTGACTAGTTTTACTATTCCTCCTGTAGATGGACA